GCTTTTAACTTTATGACAGCTGTTTTTTCATTTCGCCAAAGTCATTTACGAAAATAACGAATTCAGAATATTTCGGTTTTGGGTTTAGGCTCATATTTGACATGAGTAATCGGTGAATTAATGATTTCTTTGGCTCTGAATCCTTCGTTCTTTTAATATAATAAAAACGTACGTAGACGGTCATTTATAACACTTCTTTAACTCATCTCAATCTTCGTTAGTGTATAAAAGAATTGACGTGATTCTCGAAGTTCTATAGACATACGTAATGACGTCAATTTAAATTTCTTTTTTGCGTACGATCAATAGATATTGAGATATGGCGACGAAATTTTTTTACTTATGTTAAACTTATTTCATTAGAATGATCTTCATCATTAGAAAAAAATGTATATTTATGTAATACAGTATTGATAAAAAGTTCTAAGACATAGATTAAAAAAATAATTGAGCAACTTACTCGCCTATTTATATAGTGAAACGTACATAAATTTCAATAAAATGCGATTTATACAGGTCGTTAATGAATTCCGTGTGTCTTGTTTCACAATAAATGACGGCTTTGGATAAAAGTCGACCGAAATGGGTTGCATATGCATTAAAAAAGGAAAGTAATACTTTTACCTGCATAATGAGAAATTACGACACCGCGTATCAGCAGCTGTAAGTGTGGCGTATGGTTGCTCGCCGCGTACGGTTGCAAACGTAATGACATTGCCCTTTGAACTCAAAACGAGAAAACAGTTAGCCTTTTAAAACGTGCGCCGTGGAACAGTAAAGATTGAGAAATACAAAAGAATGTCAAGAAAGCGAGTAAGCAGTAAGAGTTGCTAACTTGCTTGATAACCGTCGCACATAGTTGTCGCGCAGTGACTCGCACCAGCTGTACGTGTGTACGGTAGCTCATTTGCATTCATGCATTTTCTATAAGCGAGTGCAAACTTTTTTCATCTAATTGTTGATTTCGAAGATTGCGTGCGATGACTCGAGCAAAATGTAATTTGCTGCATGTGAATATGTATTATATCGCCTGATGCAAGATAGTTCTGCATTGCAAAGTTACATGATATTTATTCTCGTAGAGATGTAATAACGGAAATCTTACAAGATTTCTTTAAATACTCTTTTTACGACTTCAGCAATTGTAATTCATGAGCATGTTTTCTTTGTATTATTATGACTTCTGACTGTTTTTAAATATGCTGGTTTACGTGCAAACGTAATTCACAACGATTTGGCACTTTAATTACACACCTGAATATAAAACTAATCAATTTTATTGTTGTGCTAATGTAAACGTCAATTGAAATTCTATTTCTTATTCTATTGCAGATGCTTTCGAAATTGCGGTGTTGCTGAGGCTACGTCTGATCAGATAAATCGTAAGTAATGAAAAGTGATAGCAATATAAAATGAGAAATAAGTTATACGAGAAAGTAGTAGTGAACACTATTGAGAGTTTGTAGTACAATTAGAAATGCTTCTCTTTTCTCCTTAAAGCTAATAAAATAGCATTTATTCGAAATTAATTGAAACACGAACGCTTTCGAATCTATAAATAGTCGTATCAGCAGGTGTTTGGTTTTCGCGTTGATACGAGATAGAAGCGTGAATTATGCATTAGAATCTCACCGATTTACTGGCCATGACCTACCTCCACCCACGCGGCCAAACCAAACACCTCGTGACTGCTTTGCGCAGTACGTAGCTACTTAAGTTCTATTAACCGTTGCGTCTGTTGCAAATTAGGCGTAGAAGTTGTCAGTGCTCCGCGCACTGTATGCGTGTACACGTACACAGTGTATCACACGTATTACTTGGACTTTAGATCGATAAAATTGCCCGATCGAATCCGAGCACGTTTGTAATTCATTTTAACTTATAATGTCTACCTTGAGAATGCTTCATTTATGATTCAATTAACATTCGTTGAATCTAATTGTAAACTGTTCTGCTTTTTCGTCGTTCTATTTAATATAAGAAATCGTGTAATTGTTTAACATGCGTGTAATAGCGACAAGTCGAGTGGCAGTTTGATGTTACACGTCTGGGAAAGTTCACTACTAAGGATAATAGAGAACTTCTCTCATTTTCCCTCAGTTACTAGTAATGATGTCAATTATTTGAATTGACGGAATTATAATCTCGTGAACAAAAGAAATGTTTGAAGCGTACAATGATATAATGCGTGAAATGATAGGCAATAGAGAAAGAGAGAAGGAGACTCAATGATAGTGAGTTCTCGTGAAATCTTTGTACAGTGAGCATCGACATTTATTCATTCTAGTCGAAGACTCGGTTGCCTGTGTGAATATGGAAATTACCAATTACGTCACACGCGTAATGTAGACGACGCGTATCATATGCAAAATAATGCAAATAGCGTGCCGAAAGTGATTGGCTCCTCTATGTATAGAACGGGATGTTACGCCGGTTTACCGGTTCAATGTGGCATTAACAGATTCAAAAACCTAGTCATGGTCTTCCCACGTTCGCGTACATGTCCGCTCGACCCTCAGCTTTTCCAAGAATAGTTTTGTTCATTTTCAAACATTCGAACATTTTATTTAACTCTTGATCAAACAAATAACCTGGCATCGAACAGGTCTATTAATTTACGTTTTAATCCGCGGTGAAAAATTTCCAGCGAAAAACATCTGTTTATTGTAACACCATACTGAATTATTTGGTCTTTCAATAGCTATGCAAATGTTTCATTAATTACATCATTGTTTAACAAATTTAATTTTACAATTATTTTCTGATGAATTTTAACGTACTGTACAAAATAAACGGTATCGTATCATAAATTTCTCACTAAACTTTGTTGGATCAATGATATTGATGGAACACTTGAAATGATTACAGAGATAATCACTTGTACAGCAATGATTCACGATCTTCACTGTTACGTAATCAATAAGATTTCGAAATTGAAAATCATTATTGGCAGAGGACTTCAGAACGCGATTTGTAAAAATTCAACTAACGTAATGTGATTCACCAGTTTCAAAGAAAATTGCATTTATGAGTACATGAAAGTTAGCTTTGAAAAACATTGAAAACCAATACGAGATACCATGTAACTAACAGGAAATTATTTTTTTCTCGGCAGGTGAATCAGATTGAAAAATGCAAAGAACGCTGCCGCCACTGTTCTTACTCCTCCTGATTAATTCAGGATGGGTCAGCGGGCTCTGCAACTTGGAGAACAGCACTACGGTTTATTGCCGCGACCTCGAAGACGTCAAATACATCGAAACTTACGACCTCGAAGTGCTGAAGTCGCACATCGGGGAACCCATCCTCCATCCTGGTCTCTTCATCAATTTGACCACGCTTCGTCACTTGGACCTTTCGGGAGGTACCGTTGAAAAGATAGAACCAGGAAGCTTCAAGAAATTGTCCAATCTGAGGAGCTTAAATCTCGCTGAAAACCGTATCGTGCACCTAGAGTTAGGCTCCGTGGACGGTTTGAATCGTCTGCATAGCCTGAATCTCCGCAAGAACAATTTACAACAGTTGCCGCCAGCTGTGGCTCGTCTAAAAATCTTGAAACACTTGAACGTCGAAGATAATCCGTTACAATGTAATTGTGCGACGCTTAGGGTGAGGGATTTGATCTTGAAACGAGGCGTGAAGATCTCGAAGAAGATCATGTGCGCGGGTCCGACGAACGCGAAGGGGACGTCGATATTTAAATTAGACACAGCGACCATTTGCCAGTTCGAAGAGCAGGACCGTGAGATGCAGAACGATCAGGCATCCTCGAATGAGGACTTTGGATCCGGTGACGAGAAAGGAGAAGAAAGCAAAGAGGATGTAGATGTACCAGATATCCGTGAAACGTCGAAGGATGTGGAGATCGAAACACCATTCCCGCAAGTCGAAGTATCTACTGTTGCATCTGAACTACCTGAATCTAACAGTGCCATGCAAAAAATGGTACTTTCGACCGAATCGATGGATTCTACCAAAAAGGCGAGCGACGAAGAAATTTTCTTTGATTCCGAGGAAAAGAAAACATCGACGTCTACGGCTAGTGCAATCAAGCAAAAAGAGTTCAAAGATGCTCTGTTCTCTCCTGTGGACGGTTCCGGTGACGAAGAAGAGGGATCTGGCGAAGGTTCGGGTACCATTTTCGGCGATTGGAAAAAGACTGGTGATGTAGAACCATCCGAAGGGACGACGGAAGATGATGACTCGGGTACTGGATTGTTGGATATGTTCCTCAACGTGTTTTGGACCACGACGGAGCCCCCGAAAAAGCAAGGCGATCCCGATTTAGAAGAAGAGCAATTCATCGACATGACTTCGACTACACAAACCGAGGAAGCTGTGCCTAAAAAGGTTGATGGTTTAACCGAGAGCTCTGGTAAGGGCAGCACGGTGAGCTCTGCTAATAACGTTGAGATAGTCAATAGTGAAGTAGACGACTTGACGACATTGGGCAAAGTAAAAGTCGACGAAGGCGAAGTGTCTCCGTCCTCTGACAAGCAATCGAAGAAAGGTATGGGTTCGTACGTAGTTCTCGTCGTCTTATTGGCGATCCTGGCGACGCTCATAGGTTTTGCAGCTTACAAGGGTGACTTCTGCAAGAAAAAGAGGAAGCGCGGTGACATCGAGAACGCAACCGAGTTGAAGGACATGCAGAAGTCGCTGCTGGAGTCTGGAAATTCGACGCAGCCGAAGATAGCTTCTAATGGTAACGTGGAGAACGTTCCCCTAGTCGGAGACGCGCCGAATTGCGAGGAGACCAAAGTTGCCAATAATTACCAAGTTACGGCAGACATTCCAAGATCCGCGAATGGTATCTCAGACTCAGCGGGGCCGGTGAAACCGCCGCGAGCGGTCACTCCGCAGAGCGATGAAAAAACTCAGGACAGGAACTCTCTGAAAGACGACTCATTTTCCGGGAGGACGAGCTCCGCGGATCAAGTAGATAGTCCGGTGGTCACTCGACGGACCGACGTCAATGAACCACCGTTGAGTCCCGGTGCTCAGAGAGTGAAGATCACTCTGCAAGAGAATCCTGACAGCGTGCCAAAAACGCCTATACTCATCACAAAAACGATGGCTAATGAGAATCTATACTCGTGGTCCCGAGAGCCTACGACCGTTTCGCGCAGGTTGGAAGGTGGTGAGGATCGCAGTGAACTCCCTCCACACGGTTCAGTATACCCGGTAAAGCATTGAGATGCGCAGAACGATAAAAAACTGAACTGTGCCCGGTCCTAGACTCTCGGAACCGCAAGTATAGTCAAGCAATGAGGGGGATAACTTCGAAAAGAGAGTCGATTGGAAAAAAATATTTAAACTTACGGGAAGATGGAGCAAGTGAAGAGAGAAATGTTTGCTCCGGATTATGGGATCCATAATGCCGCCAGTGTTCCTAAGTCCCACGAAGTGGATGGTGGATGGATTTTTACGGTACAGTGAGGTCAGGACAAGTTTTACTGTTCCCGAGTTTGCGTTCCTCGTTGACTGTGAAACAAGAATTTAGTGAAGGTCCATCCTCACGAGAGTGTTGTTCGAGGACGATTCGTTATAGAATTAACGATTATGTGAAGCGATTGTTTGTACATATTTGCAAATAATAGACGTGTACGTTAAACTGTCGTTGTATTGGGTATAATGTACGTGAACATATTTGATACATTTTATATACATACGTGTATACGCAATATTAGCACACTAGTCAGTTCTCTTAAGCATCTTCCTTCTCGCGTGAACTTCAATGAAATTTGATAATCATAAGTTCCATTGTAATCCTTTGAACCGCGTCATTATCATTTAACCACTGTTATGAGAGTTTTCATACTGTTACATTTGGATTTTACTCTAATGCAATAAATTGTTCTTAAGACGTACTATAATGTGCTGATAGCGAACGATTCATTTCGTGATACCAAGCGTTCTTCTGTAGAAAATAGAATTGTATTCTCTTTCATTAGCGGAACTTAACACTTAACGAGTAAAAAGTTAATTTGTAAATTACGTCGCACATGTATTTATAAAAATCATTCCAGATTAATCGCATCTTCTCTTCTAATGATTATTATCGAATGGATGATGATAAGCAAAACGCTATACAGTAGGACGCTATGAAATGAACGTAATTTTAAACTTATCTTAAAATCTTTAGGTAATAAGCGATGAATTCGAAATAGAACTAAAATAATATTTTAATCATAAAATGCCAAATATTTTTAATATCCGAATTCGTGTGAAATTGTCTGCATTTGCGAAATTAGAAACAATGGCAACTATCTTTAATCAGGAGCATTTATGAATCACTGAGTAATTAATAACTTGAATGAAGTTGTTAAATTTTTGTAAAATAAATGGAGACAAATTGAACATCTTTTTCTGTCAATTCTTTCCAATTTACATAGATTCGAACGTTTCCGTAACTTTTGCCTCATTCACTGCACAACAAATTTTCGCACGTTTTGTGAGCGAAACGCGTGAAGTATTTACCATTAAGATAAGACGAAGCCCTGTGTAAAAAGAGTTCTTCCAAAGAAAACACACGAGTCCTTATATTATCGCAGCACAAACTGGTTTCATGATGGTACATGAATGTGCGAAGACGATCCGCGTTCGTACAAGCGTTCAAGTTTAATTTGCAACAAAGAGAATCACCTCATTGATACTGTGATTAGCACTGGAACGCTAGAAAGAGATAATTTATTATCCACCGTGATATCATCGACGTGTCACCGTTATTTACGCCATTTTACTTTGTTCCCTAGATAAGTTTCTCCCTTATTCATCATGTATGTTTAACATTTATGAAGTATACATACATACATCGTTAAAAAATAGATATGAATTGTACGATAGCGAATAAATAGTTATAAACAATCATATCGATATATTTTTCAAACGTTTATAATTTTAACAATGGATGCGAAATAAAATGATAACATTTATAAAAGGTACGATGTTTATTTATATAAAATGTCATATGTAAGAAATGGGAAGTAGCAATGCAATCAGAGGAGAATGAAGTTTTTCTTGTATCAGTCAAGTCAGTTCGTAATTTTTTTTCATTAGGGGAAAAGGCACAAAAATCTAATAGCTCTACAAAGCAGAAGGGCATTGAAATTACTGATAAGAAGGTTCATTACACTTGTATGCAAAGTTTGTTTAACGTTATCGGAGATTTACAGTTTTGTGAACGTGCATTAGAATTTTCTCCGCTTCATATGCCGCGATAAGTGGTACATTGATCCACTCTAATTATTACCTACAATGTCAAGTTGACTGTAAGTACTTCCAAGATTACATGAAATAACCGTAATCTTGTACCCCTGGTTTCGCCTTATTATGTCACAATATTTCATTTGGTAGCTCTTATAACATATAAGAAAAATGTAATAACAGGCTCGCATCATTAAATAGATACATATTTACTTACTTAAATGATTTTAGTCGTCCTTCTCAACAAACCTGTAAATTTCTGGATGAATAATCGTAACTATTATTTTTTATTAATAAATATTTTATTTACTGTCATCAATACAATTTCCATCATGTTTTAACACTTTCCTCTCTTCAAAAAGTAAAACCTGTAAATGTTACCGACATCTTGTCATGCTTTAAAAACCATCTGGTTCCACAACCTATTCCATTGAAATAAAAAAGCGAACATGTACTTCCACGTCTTTATTCGTTCCTTAAAATCTCGTGTAATTGATTCTGATTGTTTTAAAATACCAAATCGTAAAGTATCAAATTGCACTAACGTTTCGCTAAAAATTTGGTTCATAGTTTATTTTTTAAGAGTCCCGTTCTACCGTAGAATGTCTGTAACCGCTTCTGGGTTCTCTTTTCAGTTCTCTGATAACGATCGATCTGCTAGAACCGACTGGGTGAATATCTGAGTCCTCGTCGTCGCTTGAGTGGACGTCGTACATCGTGCGTCTTCTCTTTTGCTTCGCGTTCGGTGTTTGCGGTCTCGGTTGAGTTCTTCCACTTCCGGAATCTACTGAATCGCTCATCATGCTCTGCCTCCTGGCTCTACGCGCTACGTTCGCTCTCGAATTCCTCTGACTCTTAGGTGCCTCGGTTCCACTGTTATCAGCTGAGGTGTTTCTGACCCTTCTAAGCCTTTCGCGCCGCCTCTCCTCCCTCCTTAGCAAATCGTCTTCGCTTTGAAATCTTTTCTTCGGTCTTCTTGTTCTCCTGACATACTTCATTCTCAAATTGTCGGCCGAACCCATGCGCATAGAAGTTGTCTCCACCGATATGTCGTCCAAATTGTCCAGAGAACGTGCCAGTCTTGACATCTGCACTGCTTCCTCGTAAGTAGGTGGTTCCACCAACTCCAGAGGGTGAATTCTCGGTTCCGGTCGGCGTTCACGAGGTGGTGGTTGTTCTTGCTGTTCTTCTTCTTGTCTGGGATGGGTCCTATCGATTAATTAAATGAGTGATAAAGAAGTACAAATTGAAGAAGTATTTTTAAATTAATTATGAATAACGAAAAACTTGTTAATCTACTTAATTAATGTAATGATTTACGTTCATTTGAATGAATTTATTATTTAAAACGAAGTATTTTGAAATCGTGATTCTGTTTAAAGGTTCAAAACAGATACCTGGTTTACTCTTTGCAGATAATGTTACACTCTATTCTGGTATATGATATACGATTTTGCTTTTCGATAAAATATTTGATCGTGAACTTTATATTTCATGAGGAAGTATATTCATACCTTCTACGGCTTAATAATCCAAAGGTTTCCAATTGCTCTCTTTGTTCAATGGCTCTTCTTTTGATTCTCATCATATGTCTGAGCGATATGAAACTTCCGCAGAGGACAACCATCATAAGTAAACCGATCATCACGAATCCCCAAGTTCGGTCCCTATTAGAATACGAAGGCGCGTTCCATTGTTCGAAACAAGCAGTCTCCCAAGTATAACCAGATACGTTCTTCGGCCTTTGACATATTAAAGATTCCTTCAAAGTTTTTGCGGGCGTATGCGTCAAATAGATGAACATAAGATGCAATTCCTTGCAATTGCAAAGCCACGGATTATCGTCCAAATCTATTATATTCAAGATTGGATTGTTTTGAAACATTTCCGGGTCCAAAGCTCCTGTCAATCGATTTCCTACAAATTTTCAGGTTGAAATTTAAATATAATTTAATTTTGAAGGAGAATAAAACTTGTTCCTAAATGAATTATATTCATCGTAGAATTCAATTTTTCAATTTGGAATTGAAAGGGAAATCGAACCTGATAAATCAATTCTCATAAGCTGCGGTAACTGAAGAAACGTGTCGTTGCTCACTTCGACTATTCTGTTTCTTCGCAAATCCAAATTCCTCAATGTCAATGATTGCATACCGGATGGTAGTTGTCGTAATTGGTTGTCATTCAAATAAATTCCCATTATTTGAGGCAAGTTCGTTAAAAATTCTGCATTCATATGACTGATCAGATTGTACGATAAGTCCAACTTAATCACTGCTGCTCTAAGATTTGGGAAATCTTGCAATACGTTGTAAGATAGATTTAGAAGATTGAGTTCGACGTTTCCGCTGAACGCTAATGGATGAATTGTTTTTATATTGTTGGCCGACAGATCCAGTACTTGAAGTTTCTTTAAACCTTCGAAGGTACTCGCATTCAGTTTCTCGATCTCGTTCGCATGTAAATGGAGAAAACTGAGTCCTCGGTTTTTCGCAAAAATTCGATCGGGCAACATTTGAATTTGATTATTGGACAAATCTGCATAAGTCAATGATGGAAATCCGTGCAGACCAGGTCTGTCTAAATTACATCTTAACGCGTAGAGCTTCTTCAGCTTTAAGTGCGTCAATGTTGAGTTTCTGGAAAACAGAATATGTAAATGAATAATAGAGTTTAAAACATGTCTCAATTATCGTACTATAAGGTCTAATTATTTCTATAATAATTTTATACACAAAAATGTTCACAGTTAGAATTTTACTTGCTTGCCTCGTACTGTAGATTAATTTGGGATTGTTCGACAGTCGAAGCTCTTCAAGCTCTGGAAATCCTTGGAAGGTAAAAGGACTCAAATAATTTAAAAGACAGTCAGACATATCGAGCCATTGTAGTTTCGGGCCCCACGTGTCTTGAACATATTTCAATGGATTCCCCACTAAACTAAGCATAGTCAGATTCGGTAAACCGTCCAAGGATGTATTACTCAGCTGTCTTATTACTATTAAATTAAGTAGATTGTCAATTATTTCTGACAATTAACGTTTCGTTCGAAATGTAAAAAAATTATCCAAATAAAATGTTATACCGCAATAACTAGCATCCAAGATTTCAAGATTAGCGCTGATTAACCCCTCCAAAGTGGATAATGAATTTTTTGATAAATTAAGGACCGATAAGGACGGTAATTGCGCCAAGGACCTAATATGACTCGTTTCCAATATATTGTTGCCACTCAGGTCCAACCTTTGTAAACTTTTTAGTGATCTTATATTATCTGGCAGTGAACTTAGCTTATTCCTTGCTAAATTCAGGTACTCTAATTCTATCAGTCGGTTAACGTCGTCGATGATACTCGTTAATAAATTGTCCGATAAATTTAATTGCTCCACCTAAAACATGAATCAGAGATGAGTAATTTCCTTAACATTCCTAAAATAAGTACATTCCTCATAAAATTTATAATGTCCAATAAAAGTTAAAAACTCATTGTTAAATATAAATGAGTTCTCCAATTTAGTCTATATTTGTAATATGCAGGCTTGTTTTTCAATGGTATACTGCACTTCTTGATCGTATTATTCATTTACATACTCGTAACAATAAGTTAAAGCTCACAATTTTCCGGAAAGCTATGAATTATTATTATAGTTTACTATTATCTATTTATACTGAGCGCCACAACAAACTGATTTCATTAAAGAGAAAAATGTTCAATTAAAAGTTATCCAAGCATGTACAGTGACATATAGATTTCAAAAGATATCTCTTAAGTTCTTTTTCCCTCGTTCACGTGCATTTCTCAATGACTCATTTTTAACTGTGATTAAAGCGATAAAGTGTAAGAAGCGTTTGGTACAAGGCGTTTACATTTTCGCACGGGATCATGCAAAATCGTAAAAGATCGTGACATTGTGACATTATAAACTCCTCGTTCTTGTACGTACTGTCCTGAAAGGGAACAGGTTCGCTCACCAAATCGCTTATATTTTGGGGGAACACTTCCAAGCCTTGCTTTGAGCACATGACAGTTCTTGGCGTTCGGTTGAGGTGGCACAGGCACCTTGCAGGACAAGTGCTTTGACACTGCGCGATCGAGAAAATGCCGAAGCACGCGGCCAGCAAACAGAGTAAACCACGAGGCGTTATTATCCGGTCCTTCATGTTCTTTGCTATCGTATACGCGATCGCGTGAACTTCCGTGAAAATCACATTTTCACCGACACAGAAAATCAATGCTCCATTCGACGCAATTATCGCGAGCTCCACGTCGGTTATTTGCGACTATTCATACTTAAAGTTAATTCCCTTGTACTCTGTTTCTTTTAGTTTTAAGGCGTGAATCGGTGAACGGGCCCAACACTGCTCGGAACCGTCCTGAAAACTACTGAGTACTTATCTTTGATAAGTAACGCGGGATATACCGCACGATATCTCCGTGAGATAACTCGTGCGCACGACGAGGTGTCGAGACCATTATTCCCAGTGATAGTAGGAACAAATTGAATATATATACGTATCGACGAATGCACCTGTAAAACGAAATAAAATGTAGTCTATCGTTCTATATGAATTTCAAGTGACACGCATTAAACTGAATTCTCGTACGCGTTAATATTTGCACTTTGATAGCTGTCGAATATTCTATGCAACCGTGCAGTGCCGTACAGGTGTCGTAACTTGATCATAAAAAATTATCGTTCTTCTGAAATGTACAATTTTATAGAAAAAATTATATAAAAACGTTATTAAATAAAATATAATTTAAGAAATGGTCCATTGGAGTTTACAATGAAGAAAGAATATTCTTCGGGAAGAACCTCTACGAATTGAAATTTGAATGGTCAGTCCGGTGGAAAATATAAGACATTAGATAAGTACCTCAAGTATCCGGAAAGCCGATATTGAGCCGACCGTCTCCACGAGTATAAGTCTCTCTCGGCTGACCCATGCGGATATTTTCCCCTTACCAGCGACCCGAGTACACTGTCGCTGTATTACGACCTTCTTTTTTTTATCGTTTCCTCAATCCAACCAGGGCGGTGTCTAAGGTCTTCCTCTTCGAGATGGGACAACCATACAGCCTGGGAATTATCCAGAAACCATGTCTACAAACAGCAAACGTGCGATGAACCGGACGTGACATGACGAAACGTTACGGGGCAAGGAAATTCAACAATCTTTTATCTTTTACATTCCATCTTGCTATTGTTGCCTTTAATTGTAGGAAACAGTGAAAAAGTTATATGTAATCCAATGACCGTTTCTTAGAATTATTGGAATCCCGTTCAATCCCTCTGTATATCTATGAATAGTACACTATTTCAATGGGTACAATTGTCACAAAAGATTGTAGATAAATACTTTAGCATTTTGCAAACTGATCATTTTTAAAATACAGAGAATGAACCAAACGATAAGGAATTGTATGTTTATCTAGGGAGCGAAGAACATTGATAATGATTATATATTTATATAACCGGTTGGTATAGAAAAAAATTTATCCGCGCAGGATTGAATTCCTCTCTTTTTCACACGTCCGGTTGGTCCAATGAGGACGGTAGGTCACACCCTCGGGAGGGTGCGAGCGGTTTAGCTAGCGCCGGCGCTTAGCCGTCGGCTTATCCGGTAGGGACAAGCCCGCGTCTACCTGTTGATATTAAACCAACCCCTTCACAGAGATTTTGCAAATCCGGAGTTTGCACGTGCTCAACGTTTGGTCACGCCCTCCGTACGCGAAAATCATTGATTTAACATAAATTTTTCCATTTTCTGTTTCTTTATTTACCGGTCTTAGGGCTTTAATCTACCAGTCCTTAGGTAAAACACTTTTAATTAATTTTTGCTTAGATCTGTGTTATTGAGATGATGTTATAGCATTCGACGGGTAGTAGAAGTTAAATATCACGTTATCGAGGGAAGAGTGCTTTGCATCAGACGGTGGTTATTCAAAGGTTTCTGTGTGAGTTTGATTATCAAGTCTGTATCGATTTCCCATTGCTGATTTCAAGGCACAGTCCGTAGGTAACGTAGCGAACGGTTGTAATTAAAAGATCTGCGGTTTTTATGGCAAAGAAGTAAGACGGTTGTTGAGCAAATTGGAAAATTGATGTCGCAGCAATATTAAAGTGCAATTGACCTGAATAACGAGATACTGAAAATATCTTAACTACACTCGATTTGTCATAAACTTTTGACAATAAATGAAATAATTTTCTAATCTACAGATCGACGTTTAATCTTGTGTGTTCTTAAAAAACGACTGAAAAACGAGTCACTAAATATATCCAGCTCGGCTCCCTTCCTGAATCGCGGCTACCATTATCGCGGAGGCATTGGCCATTCAGAGAACAAAAATTCATCCCGCGAACTCGCTATTGAGGCCAGCTGTACTAAACAGCCGCTGGAGAAGATATAATGCCGGCACTATCTGCCGCCCGAGCAGACTCCCTGTCCTGTACGTCTACATACATACATACATACGTATGTACATACCTATACATTCTCTATATATTTTTAACGCCTTCATTTCCGGCCACGTTGAGACACCGGAAATAGCGGAACGATACCTCGCGGTGTTTCAGGTATTGATCAGTTCGAGAACAGGGTACCACCCACCCACGCTGGGGGTGGGGGGTGCACCCTCTGCAGACTGGAAGCTTCGACCTCTGCACCGACTCCCTCCACTTTACCCTCACTACGGGCTACCGGCGTCGCTCGTGACGCCCCCGGCCGCCTACACCGCCGCCAACCCCCTCTTCCATCGACCCCCGGATACAACCGCCAGCCACCCCCGTCGCCAACCCCCTGCGACCCAGCTACCGAGACATCGAAGACGAATCTTTAGATATCTCCGCCACGTCGTCTCCGCTCGGATCTTCGTTGGGTTACGCTCCAGTACGCTGGCTCGGAAATAAAACGCGGACGAAGTTGCATTAGTGCCGTTTGCACGGTCCCTTCCCCGTCCTCCCGACTGAAACGTTTCAGGATTCGCCGTAGCTATCCCGTGGACCGTTTAATTGGAAACTGCTACGCGAGACTGTTTGAAGATTAAACAGAAATTTCTCGGAATATTATTACGTCGGTTGTTTGTTAACTACAATAGCTGTATATCGGTTAATACTATATCAAACATCCTTTCGCAGTTTGATATTCGAATCAGCAGTGCCAAGTATTGCAAGTTACATTATAAATTGTTGTATTATATATAAAAAGTCATTTACACTGCACTAATTTCCGTAATTGAGATAAATCTAGGATCAGCTGGGTCATCCCTCAAATTTCGGTACCGGGAATTGAGAGTCAGACTCGGGGGTTAAACGCGGGAGTCGCGACATTCCGAAATGATTTTATTTTCCCCAAAACTCATCCCCGCTACCCGGCGGCCCTTAAGCTCGGTTATAAATAACAGCTTATCTTTTGTCGGCTTCAACGCCACCGCAATTCTGTACAAAGCCAAACTCCGTTACTCCTGGCCGACCCTACCTACCACCTTTTATGCCTTGTAAGGGGTCACGCGAAAGAAGACGTCTTTCGAAACGTGCGCTCGTAATTGCTATGACGTGTATCCGAATTAAATCCACCGGTTTGTCGTGGTCCTTCCGCATCGTCGAGCACGCACAGATTGGTCTACCGCTATAGTACACGGTATCTCATACGTATTTCGTTTCAAGGATTTCTATTATTGACCATGCGTTTGCAATCATTTGTGCACAATTGAATTTCATGATTTTATATTATAGAAAAGCTTAGCATGTATTTATTTCTGTATCATAATGCTCGGTTTATATGCCATTTCGTACAGAACGAGTATCCAGCTATTAAGTAGAATGTATCAGTCCTAGTCAGACTCGAGAGTGGATAACTTCTCCACACGGCTTTACTACTGTACGATTACAAGTTTTATTTCATTAAATGTATAATTACCAATATTGTTAATAATTTCTAGTAGCAAAATATTTGTTTTATTATTTAACAAATGCGAGTGGTTTCATGTTGAACTGTTTGTTGTTTCCACGTTTATATTAAAGGGATATTGAATAACGTTTCCATCCCGGGGTTAAGTAGGTAGATTTCTCGCTAATATTTGAATGGATGCCGGCTATTCGTGGTTCAGTGCGCCTTTAACAAGATCAGAGACATTGAGGTGCGGGACCCTCGTGAGGATGAGATGCAGCGCGGACGTACGCTGTAGGTGTGTGTACGAGTTGCACGTACAGGCCCGTGAAGTATACGTTCCGTGGCTCGTTGATACCTCGCACATCTGTCGGTGCTCCCAAACTCCGGAGAAAGAGAAGGAATCTCGTCAAACCGTTTCCGTAGTATTGTCTAATCGTCTATCGTCCGGGTCTATCCTTCGCGCTGTCGTTTCTCACTCGCTTCCCCGTCTCTCTTTCTTACGCCCGAGCTCCACGTCTCTCAGACGATGTAAATCCGTATTCGAACCGCGTGCGGAGCCTGTAACCTCCCGCCGGAAAACGGGATCGTCTCCGAGTGGGTGACGATTAAAGGTCGTAGGTGCGGAACAGGCGACGCGTTAAGGAGTGCGTAAATTAAGATTCGCGGGAAAACAGAATTTCACGCCGCTGTTCAGGGAAACTAATCACCTTACACGATGCGAACAGAACATTTCCGAAAACGTTCGTTGAAAAATATCAAATAATGGAATGAGATATTTTCATAATCAATTACGACAGTTAAATAACTCATCATTATATTATTATTTTAAAAAGCGTAATGTAGAAAATATTGATTTTTAAGACAAGGAACCTTTCTTTTTGCAAAACGATGTACAAGTATCCCTTGGGGATGAGCATATTTTACGGTGCTATCTAAGGACCGGTGTACATCCAAATATGCCTGAAGAGCCGAAAAGATTGCGTCGTCTGCGGCAGGCAACATGCCAATCTTGCTCGATGTTTTTTATTGCCGCGATAAGCGGCTGGTCCTGTCTGCTGCTCACACCACCCCACCGAACTAGGAAATATCCGACGAAACGTTACGAATGTAATCTTTACTTCTGTGCCGCTCCTTAATGGACGTTTTCACTCGTTCTAGCCACACAGCACGCACCACCAGCCGAGTATGAATCTCCACCAGATTTGACAGAGCGTATCTTCTTTATGGCGCGAAGGGAAAAATGATGAGATCGACTTCCGAAGTGTCTAGATATTCAGTATTAATAAAAAGTAGAAGAGTATTTAGGAACGTCAGTGGTCTACTTTCTCACCACGTCACTGCTGTAAACATATGAAATAATTGAATATCGTTTCTGAATTGTAATACTGAAAATTCATTTTATTCGAACATCAAATACGTTATTGTTTCTTATATCAGATATCGTCATTATTGTAATCTGATATTATGATAAAATCGGATGTTTTAAGGACCATTTTGATTGGTGCCAATAGATATTCGATATATCGTGTCTACGTTAGGTTTAAAGCCTGCCCATAATGAGCCAATCAGGACGTTCGGCGA